ACCAGTTAATTTTGAAATCTGTCAAAAGGCATTCAACAAATTAAACTCAATTGGCACATTGGCCTCCGGAATGCGGACGGCTGTGGCCAGCTGGGCTGGGCTGGGCTGACTGAATGCTTTGCTGGTTCACTGGCCAACTCCCGGGCAGGCAAATAAACATGGCACTTGGCAGCCGCTGGATTACATTTCACATTTCATTTGAGATGAAGGTGAGGCGGTGCCGGTGGGAGCCGAGTGGCATATGTGGCACGGCTGGAGCCGGGCAGACAGAGCGCAACCAGAGTCATCATAAAATTGATCATCAAAAAAAAAAAAAAAAGGCCACATAATGCCAGTCAGCCACTCAGCCAGCCAGTTGGCAGTAACTCACAAGTCCGGGCCGCACTCGACTCCGGCGTAGGGCCGAGGCCCGAAAACTACTGCAGCGCCCATAAAATTTTCAAGTGCAGTCTTTTAGGCTCAGCGTGCGCCAAATGCGAAATTGGACATGAAAATGAAAGGCATAAAAAAAACAGAAACACAAAAAAAAATAAAATAAAATGGGGGAAAAACAACAACAACAACAACAACAACAAAAAGTGCCAGGCAATGCTGCAAGTGGCCCCAAGTAGCAGCTGCCACATTTAAGCAGCAAACGTCTGCGGGGCAAAGCCAACGTTCATGTTCCGGCCGCAAAACACGGAAAAACAAGCCAAAAAGAAAAGCAACGGACGAACACGATACAAAACACGAGAAAGCCCCAAGTAATTGGGCAATAACGAAGCTTTTATGCTCTAGAGATTGGCACAGTTTTCATTATTCGTTTGCAAACATTCATAATTTAGACATTATCTGCTTAGTTTGTACGTTTCGCCACGAATTACATATTTATTAAAAAATTACGTGAGATAACGAACGCGCTTCTCCCCTTTGCATATTTCACATGCAGCCAAATTAATATCGCTTTGCAAATTTTAATTAAGTTTAAGCGCTTAAAAAAAAACAGAATTGAAGTTTAAATTTCGGTACAATTTGTTGGGTTTTGCATTTATTTTTAAATTTAGTAAGAGTTTTTTTTAAATTGCACAGAAAAACTTTACATATTTAAAACAATTTATTTTGTTTATCGAACCACGTAATATAATTGGCATTTTATTATATTTGTTTGTTTGTTATTCTTTACATATTTTATTCATTGAAGAACGTAAAATAGTTTGCATTCATTACATTGCCTAAAATTCTGAATTTTTCATAGCACATATTTGATGAAAATAATTGGAGAAGAAAAATATCTATCAATATAATTACTAAATTTCTTTGTTTTATTTATAATTTTATTAATTTTTTTTTTTATTAAATTTTACATTTCTTTATCCTTTTCATTAGTACTATTATGATAAATTTTGTTCTTACATTATTTGAATGCTTGGCTATAAATATAAATATTTTTGTCTATACATTTTTTAAATTTTTTTTATTTATTTAGTTTATTTATTTTTATTTTATTTTTATTTATTTATTTTTTTTTTTTTTTTTTTTTTTTTTTTTTTTTTTTTTTTTTTTTTTTTTTTTTTATTTATTTTATTTAATTTTTTTTTTTTTAATTACTGGATAGATGTTTCTGACGTTTACTTTCTTATTGCCAATTATTATTATTTGAAATGTATATTAATTTATGAGTCTCTATCGCTTTTCAGAAATTTCAAATAATATTGATAAATAATAGATTATTTATAAATCAAACAATTATGATATAGGCTCTGCTTAATATAAAATATACTGCTATATAACCCATCTCCAATAGTGCCGCAACACACACATCAACGTAATACATATTTCCCCTCTCCGCCCCCTTTTAAATGCTTTACACTTTTGAGTGGTCATCGGCCGATGATGTTATAATGAACTGCATGGCGAAATCTAATGTCCATTTAAGTGCAAAGTGCATTTCCGTAAGTGGGCCGTAGCCGCAGCAGCGCTCTCCCTCTTTCACTCTCTCTCTCTCTCTCTTTCTCTTCAAGTAATGCGGCTGCCCAAGTGTCAAAGCGACACAGTAAGCAGCCTCAACCACAACAACAACAAGAACAATTACAACAACTATAGCATACTTTTTGGGCTGGACTCTCTCTCTCTCTCTCTATGTGTGTGTGTCTGTGTGTGTGCGTGTTTTATGTGCATGTTTGTATGTGCCCTAGTACGAATGAAACTGGGAATTGTTTCGTTTTCGTTGTCGTTTCGAAATGAAAGAAAATGCTGTTTAATGTGCTTTTTATTATTTACATCCGCGGGCGGGCATCAGCGCCGCCCCCTTCCCCAATGCTGGCCCTTAAACCAGAGCCCACAAAACAGAAGCTCATCAACTTTTTTTTTTTTTGCATACCCTACAAACTCAATCAAAATGAGGAAATTGGGTATGTTGTTTGTGGAACAGGAATTTTGGTGAGCTATGAATGATAAAGGGAGGGAATAAAGGAGGGAGGGACCAGGTCTGTTCGACTCTCTGAAAGATCTATGTAAACTAGAATCCATTAACTCACAGCAGATATTCTAGAAAACAGATATACTCGCAAGATATTCTAGTAATTAATTATATTATTTTGATTATAGGAAAGACTTTCTGAAAATGGTAAAAATTGATAGTATTTCATCATAATTAACTCACAGATTTCTTTTATATATATCTCGTAAGCTGTAAGAGCTAGAGATATATAATTTGTATACTAAGCACAACTGAACTATGCACAACATATGAATAGTTTTGGTTTTCTCTTCTAGCTGGCAAAGTCTCGGATATTTTCATGATTTCTATTTCTATACTGGCATCAAACTTGCATCTAGGGTATCTTGTTGTCTACTACAAGTCACTCTCTTGTATTTTTTATTATTATTTTGTGGCACAGTTCCGGTTGCGAGGCTTTCATTTCTATGTAAATTTCGAGCGCCCCGAGCTAAATGGTTTTATTGTATTTAGTGGAAATTATTCACGCCAACTAACTTTAGCCAGCCAAGAGAGAGAAAAAGAAGAAGAAATACAGACTTTTTGACTGACAGATATATACAATTTATATAGAGTAGATCTGACAGATGTAGCTCTGTGATTGGCTGCCTTTGATGCGCAGCAGCTGCTTTAATGATTGCCTTCCGCAGTAATCTGTAATGATGCCATCAAAGTGATATAATTCAGCTGAATCAGTCAAATGCAAAAATCAGCAAAATACCTACACAGCTATCCATATTGTATATGGGTATATCTACACCCATTCGATTGGGTGATTGCAAATATTTACATGACATGCGGCTTTGGATTGGTCAATCAGCCGTAATGACAATACGGCTCACATTTTGCATTCGCAATATGGGCAAATACAATTATATATATGTACATATATGTATTGGCCATATGTAAGGTCGAGCCATAAATCAATAATATCGATTCCGATATATGCACATGCATACATACATACATACATATATGCATGACAACTGACAACGTGCAACAAGCAACAAGCACGCAAAAGAAAACGAGAAAGAAGCAAACTGAATAATTCGAGCGGTATCAAAACCAATGTCAATGGCTCAGCAATGCGACATTGGCCGAGGGTTTGATAGCCGAACTTATGTAGCTCTGGGAGGGGTTCATCAAAGTTGCTACTGGCGCAGCTGCTGCAACAGCGGCAGCACTTTGCTGCATGCGCTGCCAAAAAACTTGCCAAACTTTGACAAGTTTCAAATACGTTTAGTGTCCTCCCATTTTTTTTTTTTTTTTTTGGCAAATTGGTTTTTGAAAATCCCGTTTGTGGAATATTTCGCCACCAAAAGTAATTTTGATAGGTGCCAAACAAATTTTATTAGTTTTCGGAACACTTTTTTCAGGGAATCTTGGCGTGAAAGCTTTGTAGTATTCTAAGATTCTCTTTTATTCAGCTTTATTTATATACATGCATATACATATAAGAAAAATTAAAGCAAATGAAACGGTACTTCTTCTTATAAAATATATATTAACGATTTCTCATTTTTTGCTTGGAGTAGATTGCAAGGAAAATAATTATTTAAAGCCCATTATTTTACTATTAGTAATTTTTTTATAGAATAAGTAGTTGTAGAATTATTAATTTATTAAATAAAATATTATATATAGAATATTTTTTATTGATTGAAATTCATTGGAATCATTGTGCTGGTTAAATAAGGTTAAATAAAATAATAAATGAAAATAATAATTATTTTTAAATAATCATACTATGATTTTAATGCCTCGATTTAATTAAAAATATTTTATATATTATCATATATATACAAAAAATCGTATACCATTCTTAGCCTTTCAGCAGCTCGCATCTCTTTAATATTTATATTAATTTAAAGGAAAATAATTTTCCTAAAATCTTTTCACTCAAAATTCAGCTTAGCAAAGTTTTTCCATAAAAAAATGAAAACATCAAGGCTCTTATAAGCTGAAGAGCTTAAGCTACTATAAACTGCAACTTGAAAGAAACTTGGCTTATTTTTTGCTGCCTATATACTATATATATATATGTGTATGTATGTGTGTGTGGGCATGTGGTTATGCCTGAGTGTTAATGAAAATATAGTTTTTGTAGGCAAAGTTATTGGCAAAGTGTCAAAGGCCAAAAATGCAATATTATATCGAAGGCTATGAAGTCAGCGTGTATTTCATATAAAATACCGTTACACACGAACACACACACACACATGGACATATGGACGTGCATCCAGTCAACCCCTACCCACACACACACACACATTGACAGCTTCCATTAAGAACATTGCAAAATGGCTGCATTGACAAGAGGAGCTATCGAGTCGAGTCGGCAACAGTAGCTGAAGCTGTATGTGTGTGTGTGTGTGCAGCGGTTGCATTTTAATTTATGCATATCAAATGATCTTGCAGCGCGCTTTTACTTTATAACGTTCCACATCAAGTGGCAGCCGCAGAAACTGTGCCACAAATATGAACAGCCAAGAAGTGGGCAAAAAGGGCAACAAAAGTAGAGAGAGAGAGAGAGAGAGAGAGAGAGAGAGAGGGAGAGAGGCAAAGAGCGGGAGGAAGACACAAAAACGTAGCGAATGCCATTGAAGTGAGTTAATTATTCAAAAGTTGCTCATACGCAACGTTGCGCCAGAGTCAGCGCACACACACAAACACACACACACACACACACATATGAAGTCACCCCCGAGCACACCTTTTGCAATTAAGTTGAATGCCATAAGAAATGACAACGCGTCGGTCCTTTTGGGGCAAGCACACTCTTGCTCACACGCCGCCAACTCGGGGCAGGGCTTGGCACCTAATGTGCCAGCCAGAAGTCGCAGAGGCAGCTAATTGTCGGCTTGCAACATGTTGCATGCCACCTAACCCACCCATACACCTGGCAAGCCCAGCAGGAAAGTCGATAGACGACGCTTAACTATTTTCGGTTTTTTCTTTATTTTCCTTTCTTTTTTTTCGCCTTTGACGTTTGCATATCATAAATGTGAAACTAGCTGCGGGTTGATTGACAGCCATGCCACTTAGATGGCTGCATATTTGCACTTGATAACAGGTTGACAGTCTCGAATGTCTCGATGCTTGACATTTCCAATTAATTACCGCTTACGTGCCCCCAACTGTCTATCTGACACAGCCCGCAATCGCAATTACTTGTGACAATTGTTTGACTCGCGCAAACACTGAGCCAAACGACAACGAAAGCTCCAAATGCAACAGGAGGAGAACGGCCGGGGACGATGATTGGGGCGTTAACATATGGCAAAGGGAAAGTAACAGTTGTTTGTTCCTGGGGCACGCCAAGCGATATTTGCGTTTGCAAAAGTAATACGCTCTTATTGCACTGCAGAATGCAGACTGCAGTTTAGCAAAAGTCATTGTCCATTAAGAGAGGCGGAATATAACGAAATACAGTAATCAAAGTCATGTTTGCTTAGTCGAACTTATGAGGGATATTAGATATAGATACAAATGTCGGGCATTAAATGGCAGATGGAAGAAAAGAGAAAAGAGGAGATAGAAGACAGAAGATGGAAGATAGAAGATAGAAGATATAAGATACAAGATACAAGATACAAGATACAAGATATAAGATATAAGATATAAGATA